AGATTTTAGGCCCCTGGGAATTGAAATCGAATTGCTAATAGATCATATTACTGTACTGTACAGGGTGTCTCAAAAAACCCCAAAATCATTGAAATTGACGTATTGTTCGATATTCAATGCCCTAGCACTAAGTTAATCCCACGAGTGCATAAAAGATTGACATAACTGCTATAATGAATGGTAATGCTCAGCGTAAACTTGTTATGTCAGGCATAAAGTACTAAACCCACGAATGCATATTACGCATATTACAATTTACGAAGCATTTTTAAATTCCCATGAGCAAACAAACGTTCACTTTACAAAGATATTTTAATTTTTTAAAACAAATTAATCACCCTGTCAAAATCCTTTGTGTTACGGCATTGAAATTCGAACAATACGTTATTTCAATGATTTTGGGTTTTTTTGAGACACCCTGTATAACAGAGCACACATGTCCATGTAAACGTGCATTTCTGCACATCATCTGTGGATCTTATAGATTAACATACCGCTAGTGATTACGTGACTATAGATTCTTTCAGCTGCATGGGCAGAAATGATTTTTACGACGTATGATTAACCCATCGAAAATATCAAACTGTATTCTAGTATTAGTCAAGTATTTGACTAACATATATACACATTTTTACTGTGCCTGCCTAATTGTTAAATATGGCGAAACGTAACTAACTGTCTAGATAAAAATGCACGTCTGCAGTCCCGAATGCCAGCTTACGGGCGAACTCACTCACAGGATAGTAATTAGTTATAGTACTATTCACCTCCACGTCGGGGAATAATTGTTAAATAAATTATATATGTTCGTGGTATTCATGTTCGGTGTTATATCAGAGCCTGAAACCTATGCGCATGCATGTTTTTCCATAGGAAATGGAGAATGTTGTGAAGAGCTTAGAACAAGAGAAGGAAAGTTACGTGATACAGTTTGAAGAAACCCGCAACAAAATTGGTTAGAAACTTCTTCACTTTTTTAACCATTCTTATATATTTCGCTAATCGTGCAATTTTAATGATGAATCGCGTTTATCTAAACAATAAAACCAGACACTGTCCTTGGATTACCTAATTACATCATTATATCATCCTAAGGCACAGCCACTGAAAGTTACAGTACTACAGTAGAAATTAACAGGTTGGCGTAAGCTTGCACAGAAAACCTTAGTGCATGTAAAGTTATAGTAATGAACGAAAATATTGGTGTGTTTATGTTAAGCACTATACCATGTGGAAATTATGTATTTGGTGGCAAATGAATAACATTTCGGGCACTGCATGGTCCAAAATGCAGTCTAACGGTCTGGACTAAAATGCAGTCTAACGTACGGTACGAGGGAAGTTTTTCAATCTTTGTTCTTGTTAAGAGAATATTTTAGTATTGTGAGCTTCCTAAGTTCTGTTTTTATTGCTGTAATATTATATTTACTGAAGACTTTATTTAGTGATTGAATCAATTTCGTTTGGTTTATTAGTGGTACTAGAGGGAAAATACAGAGAGTTGCAAAATAGTCCTATGGCTGAACCAGCAAAAGTGAGTAATTACGTATACTGCAAATGATGTCTTTGTATTAATGGGCCGGGACACAAAATTAATTAAGTGGAGCTTATGAATTTAAGTGGAGTTATATATATAATATTACCATCCATGCTTTCGCCAATCATGCAGTAAGTTTGAATTAAGTGAATGCAAAGAAATTACATTCATGAATCAACTACCGTTGCTTGGACGCGCCATTTTAATTCTCTCTAATGTTAAAGACGCTTCCTGTAAAAGCGAAGACGAGTAGGACGAACTCATGCAGTAGAAAACATAGTGCTGTAGGTAAATTGACATCAATCGAAATTGTTTAGTTCATAATTCGACGTTTCATTCCTCGTACGGTTTCTAACTGTTCATCCATTATTTATTTATTATTCATTCCATTACACATAAAGCAGGCCCCCTTAATAATCTCCTTGTGTCGGATGCAAAGTATTGTATGTACATTTAGCTGATATATTGGATGCACCTCATGCAGCAAAATTCACAGTATGTTTTTGCTTTCCAACAGGAGGAGAGTTTGAGACGATGTAAAGGTGACATGGAAAAAATGTGGGCTGCCATAAAGCAGCACGCAGAAGAACTCCTTTCTCGTCGAAACGTAAGTATCCATATATACTTAGGGAATTTTCAGGTTGGTCATTCGAGATTTCGCAGACAAAGGAAAAGAGAAAAATAACAGAAATTAAAGTAATATATGTCCTTTATATTTTACAAATTATTTAATTCTGTCATTGCATAAATACCATTTAAGTGGGCTTTCGTGGGATACAACTTTATACTGTTCGTATATACAGTATGTTCTTTTGTGTTGTGTAATAATGCATGTCGTCTGTATAATTTGATTGTACAGTTTTACTGCAGATGTATACAGTATATAAAGTTTTAGTACATTGGCTATTGTACCAGTGTACCATTTTTGGCATCCATTTGCAACTCTTAAGCTTAATATTTGATGTAATCGGTCACTGAAACGCCCCGTTGGGGAGTGAGCTGAATAATATATGTAATATGTAACTCTTATTGCATATACTTACATCTGACTGTAATGTCTTATTGACGTTTTATTCTATAGGAGGCAATTGAGAAATTAAAGATGCAACTTGAACATTTTCAAGAATATCAGAAGAGTGTTCTCAATGAGATTGGTGGCTGGAAATTCCAACAGAAATTAGCCCATTGTGGATATCCAGAACCAGGGCCACTGGATGATGTTAAGAAACAGTATGTATACTTGATGCTTGTGATGTTACTCTGAGTGTATATCCACACCATAGATATCTTATATAAACTAGATAGCGCATCTCTTTTAGTAAAATTGAAGCCAAGAATATCCCAGCGGATACCCCCATTTGTATAGATGGCGGCCATGTTGGAGTTTCCCACTCGCTAATAAACGCTTATAAAACAACAATAACTTTCATTATTTGAATAGTTTGAAAATGTTTAGGAATAGGAATTGGTTTAACTTAATGTTTAAGTTCCCTGTTTAAGAAATAGAAAACATACGAGTCTTCTCATTTCATGGGAATATCCTGAGTCTGCAATCACGGCTTCAATTTTTGAATTGCAGAATAATTAGATGCACTATCTATGTAGCGTATATAAGATATCTATGATCCACACCGGGCAAGCTTGAAAAATATGCCTGGCCACAGTGGGAATCGAACCTACGACCTTTGGAATGCTAGCCCAGTATGTACAGTATACTTGTTATGTAACAGCATATATACTTGTTTTGTAATTGACAATCGCATATTGTAGCTAGCAGTGCCTGGGTGCATGATTTTACTGTACATAAACATCCAACTATTTCAAATAATTACATGTGCCCCTTCAGGGGCGGAGGGTTTGCGAAAGGGGGTTGTGCTGACCGTAACATTTCAGAAAATTTAGATTTCAATGAAATGTGGTATAGATAGCACAGCAAATCGCTTAAAACGATGCGTGAATGAGCTGTCAATTAAAATACAGTAGGGATTCCTTATAATTTTTAAACTACATCATATATCTGTTCTCTAATATAAATTTTTCAGCCCAATAATTTGCAGAAACATCAAACCCATGCTAATATGCCCATAGCAATTCGTTCACTTAATACATAACTTATTCTTATGTTTTGCAATTTTGGGGCTTATATACGCCCAGAACGGCACTTCCCGCCATTGGCTCAGGGGTTGAGTTGCTTCAATGGTTATCTTTGTTTAACAAAATTGTTCTCCGAGTCTGAGATTGAATCCAATCTAATATTTTAATAGTTGTGAATCTTTGGCGGAACTGGAATGGCGTGGCTACACACATACAACTCAGGTACCAATTCTACATTCTCGTCCTGCTAGAGACCTTACAATATATAGGAGGGTAATGTAACAACGACGGCTAGATTAATACAATTAAATTCGCAATATTTAAGAAACGAAATGCGAATAATGAAAATCTTACGAGAGATTTAGACCTCGTCCTGGCGCCTCGCTCCAATGGTAAACGACAGATTTTTACATCTTGTGTACAACGCCTCATCTCAAATGCGAGAAGTACCCATCAAATTGGTTCAGTACTGGAGTAGAAATCGTCTAACGTCCTCAGACGATATTAAATTCTTACGGTACATACGACAAGTTTTCTTTCGTCTTCGTCGCTTTGCCGTCCTGTGGACGCTAAAACAATAATGCAGGTCAACGTGAAATACAGTAAATCACTTTAAATTCTTCTTACAATCCTGGGTCTAGTAATTTGAAGACTAAACAAAGGAGCATTTGACTACACCAACTGTGTGACTGTCTCGGAACCCTCGAATGCGGAACCCTTGAACTACAGATGCAAGTGCCATTCAGTGGGAGCGAGGGGGCCAATTCACTAATTCATTTTACCGAAACGCAGCAAGCATGTACATTAACTAACGTGAAATGGCATGCCAAGTAATAAATATACTGCGTTTTTGTCAGTTTGAAATAAAGAGAAACATGCTTAGTAGAGAAAAAGGGAGTGAATACTGTACATTACTATTTTCTTCCCTGAAAAGGAGGAGCGGGACTTATACGAGAGTGAGAAGTTACGGCGTATTGTTAATTTTCACATGAAATTACTATTAATATCGTCAATACTGACAGAAGGCGTTCTTTTACATACGTGTTTCTTTACCTCTATAAAGAGCAAATTATTTTTTCTTTTAACAGGTGGAAAATCTTTTCCTTCAAGTTTTACAGAATAATCCAATGGAATTAAATAGAATGACAGAACTGAAAAACGCTTACAAGAACCTTTTAACTCAACTAATTGAAGGGTAATTGTGATCCTGATATCAAGAATTGTTTAAAATAAACCTATAATCCCACTGGTATTTGCTTTATTGTTGGTGGAGGGGGAGGGCGTGTTTCAATGAAGACACGCAGAAAAAGCAATTTTCCCCATATCGAATTTGTCCCAAATCTCTCAAGTTGACCCAATCAACACTGGTACTTCCAGCAATATGTTTTTTTAAAATTTCCCATATTTATTGTTTCCACGAGTATACCTTAAATTTAAATGTTTTTCGCTTTCAGTGCTTTTGTTATCGAAAAGCAACCACCCCAAGTGTTGAAAACTCAAACAAAGTTCACATCAACTGTCAGGTTTGTGCTTCATATTATAAACTTCTCAGACCCTTTGATTTTCAGTGTTTTTCATTAACTTCATGATAATATCCAAGGATAGTACAAGAACTGCTCTGCCGGTGAACACCTTACAGTACGTGGGGTAAAACCTAGTAACAGTGATGGATAAGTGGGGCCAGTTGTATAAAAAGGCTTACAGTACCTAGATTCTTACTGGTTGACTATATTTAACTTTAACTACTGTACCTTTCTATACAACTGGTCCCAGGTAATTAGATACATGAGAATAATAATACACTTGCGCGCATTGTGTAATAGTTATCATTTTTAGACCCTCCGCTCGGGGGAGTCGGCGAAATATTACCCGAACTGATGATATTTATCACTGAGGGTAATATTTCGCCGAATCGCCCGAGCGGAGGATCTATAAATGATATATTATACCGAAAATTAAAAGCCTCCAAGTTGAGAATGTATTAAAAATTTGCCACATACCTTCGTGAATACGATGTTTTATTTTTGGATTAACGCAAGTATCGTCTCTTTTCTTTCGAATCACATATCGTTTCGAATATTCATGAGAATAATTTTGAAAACGCGAACATGTCACCCGGGTGAGATGATCATTGATCAAATCGCCATGTGATATGATTCATGTCACCCGCTTACACACGTAAAAACGCACAAGTTGTTACAAGTCTGCAAACAAGTTGTTACAAGTCTGTTCACAAGCTGTCGACAAGTTGTCTTCGCACTGCTTGTTCCCAGTTGTTGTAACAAGTTTGGGACAAGCTGTTAACAACTTGTAACAAGCTTGATGGCATTGTCAGACTTGTTACCCTTAAGGTTGTTATAACAAGTCTGACACAGTCATGATGTAACAAGAATGTTACAAGCTTGACGACACAAGGTTATAACAATATTATATCATGACTGTATCGGACTTGTTGGAACAACCTTGCAACAAGTCTGATAATGTCATCATTCTTAATTGTTACAAGTTAACAGCTTGTTCCAAGCTTGTTGACAACTTGGGACAAGCAGTGTGAACACATCTTGTTGACGGCTTGTTAGCAGACCTGCCACAAGATGTGAGATTTTTACGTGTGTACATCAAATACGATGACGTAAGTCGCAATTCGATGATAAATTTCATGCTCACGTGCCACAAACTTAGCTTTCTGATTGGACACTTTGAATTTGAGGTATAATATACACTATTTAACGCTCTTTGTAGTGTTAGACCAACGAGAAAGTTAGCTTAAAATTTGGCTATTTAAAACATATTCTCTCATAAATGTTGGGCAATTATAATACAATAGAGGCACAACTAATAAAATACCTTTTTTAGACATCTCATTGGCAGCAAACTGAATATGCAGATGAGTAAACCCGAAGTGACAGCTACCATCATTACGTAAGTTTTACTTATCTTAAGATCGGTTTCGACAGTTATGCCATTGGATATGTTTTACTTAATTACTTATTACATTCCGAACTTAATGAGCTTAATTTAGTTTATTTCTCTTAATCCAGGGAAAAACAAGCGGAAGAATTACACAAAACGGGGACGTGGTATGTATACCAAGTTTGATAATAAAATTTAGTAAAGTTAAAATAACAAGGCCAATGTGGGGGAGGGCAAAACAAAAAACACGTTCACGCGTGCAAAACAGGGGGATATCATTAACGACTGTACAATGGCAAATACTGTATATTGGGATGCTAGTTTTACGATTCCTTTTTCACTTAAGTCGCTTACAGTATATACTTTCACTTATCGTTGCAACAAATGTGCTCTGGGGACTGGAGTTCGTTACTCCCTCTGCTGAGCAGCGGTTTGTTTCAAGTTGCCCCCAGATATGCCATGCATGAGCTCATTTTATGATCAACTTGGACACGTCCGGTTTGACTAATTCGCCATCAAACATCCGTTCTTATGGCATACATTAGGTACACAACTTTAGGTTACATTGTTCTCAATCATACGATTTTCAAATTTAATCTTGTAAATAATCGACTTCTTTTAAAATAGGAAATCCCAAGGGCTGGATGAAATTCTGAACAACAAGAAGGTATTAATTTTAACTGTCGTGCAGCCGTGCGCTATGTGAAAGATCAATATATCAACTAACTTCCCCGCCTTTTCTTCTAGGTGATGGAATACATACAAGAAAAAGATTCTGTCGTAGCTGAATTCAAAAATATGGTAAGTAAAACCAATGAATGGATAAACAACAAAATATTTTCCTCCGATATAATTATACATAGTTAAAGTGGTCCAAAAACTATAGCGATAAGAATCAACACCACGGTCAAGCGTCCGCGTATTGACTGTTTACAGTATACAGTACGCGAAGACTGGAAATATTATTGTTGAAGCTGTAGCAAACAGAGCAAAGAAAATTACCATATTGTAAACTCAGCATAACATCTTCATGATTTTTTCTGTGTGGTGTAATGTACTCAGGTGAATATGATGTTTGTGATGTTACTCTGAGTGTATATCCACACCGGGCAAGCTTGACTGAATATGCCTGTCCACGGTGGGAATCGAACCTTTACGACCTTTGGAATACTAGCCCAATGCTCTGCCAACTGAGGTACGCGGTCAGGTCGGTTCGAGACTATACCTGTATAGCCGTTTCCTTTTCCCCGCCTTTTCTCCATTTTGCCAGACATTAATTTCCTCGCCATTTTCGTATAACTTTGTTTTCGTATATATCATGCGTCTGGTATGATCACAGATGTATCGTAATCATGACCGCAGTCTTGTTCCAGTCATCACATGTACACTGTATAAAAGCCTTTTTTTCGATAATTATATAATCGGTACTTTGGGTGAGTTGTGAGCAATGGGAGCTGGTTCTTTCAAAGTGAACTTGTTTTACTTTTTTTGAATATTTTATTTTTTCATTGGTTTAGTCTCTGAAAAAGGTGAATCGCCAAGGCAAAAAAAACACTGAGGTAGGTGTGAATTTACATGATTATAAAAACCCTATATAAACGGAATTTGTAGGTTTCTGTCGTCCGATCTAGACTCTTGTTTCCATTTATTTAGGGATTGATCTTCTCGTGCATGTACCCCCATCCAATCTTTCTTACACAGTTTTGTCAATTCCATCAATATAGTATATGGATATATTTCCTCTATACAACTTCCTTTACGCTGTCTTGTAGCTAATTTTCCAATCGCCCATTCCATTCAAATGCACAAACCATCGTAATCCTGCTTCTTCCCGTTGAGAATGTTGACTACTCATTCCTTTTATTTCATTCCCATCTAGTCACCTTTTTTCTTCTATTCCCTGTGCTACAATCCATATATCCGTACATAGTTTGGTATATTTCATTCTCCTTTAATTTCTTCCGTGCCATTGCCACTTTTCCTCGTGACTTCTTTTGTTCCACTACTTTCTGACGACAGTCCTCCTAAGTTGACAATAGTTTTTGTTGTTAGATTGTCTAGGCGTTGTTTTAAGTAAAATGATCACTTTTTGGGGCGAATGTTTCTTTATGAATACCGAAATTATGGCGTTATTTTCACCCACGTCATTCAAGAACGTGACATACAGTGAAATACATTTAGCTTTTGTGTTTAGACAAACATGAAATTGTTTTAAATATTATGGCAATTAGTAGCGCAATGTAATATTAATTCTTTTAATAAACTTCACAGCGTGTAATGGACGAGAAGTCTACTTTGGTTTTCCAAGCTCAATTGCACATTGGTGGAGAAAAATTTTCCGTTATGGTATGTCTTTCGTATTTTGATTACAACAGCCTTTAAAACATGAGTCTTGGCCTGGCAGCCATGCTTCTGTGTCAAGCATCATCATTATTGCTATTTTAAATGTATTTTAAACCGTTATGTTAGAATATTCTTATTTTATGTAGCAACTGTCGTTACCAGTCTCTGTCATTGTACACGGTAATCAACAACCGGAAGCAGAAGGAACAATATTCTGGGATAATGCATTCTCGGTTATTGTAAGTTTTACTGTCGTCATTTTCAGCCGAACCAACCATAAATCGTAATCATCGCAGTAAAGATCGCCTGAAATCCATTTCCAGTTTTAAAAATATGAAACGAAAAATCCAGGCATGAACAATTTGGATAAATGCTTGCAGTGCGGTGTTTTGTCACATTAGCATTTTGTTTACTCTGCCCTTCCTTTTGAACGAATTGTGTGAAGTAAAATAAATTGAATGAAGTGCAGAGAAATAACCAATTTATTTATAGTCAATTTATTTATAGTCCAGTACCAAGATGGTGTCCCCTATTTATGTAACTGCAAATTAATTCTCTGTGTGAACTTCGCTTGTATATGTGAACTTCAGATATGATGATTAGATAATTATACAGGACCCATAAAAACTCTCATTACGGCTGGCAAAGAACATTTCTTTAAGTATTCAACGCAAAGATCCCTCTTAAATTACTACTGCTGATAACAACGTACTGTGTCCATCAATTTTCAGGAGCGTGTTCCATTTGAAGTTTCTGAAGTAGTCACCTGGGCACAGTTTACATTGGCATTAAATATGCGATGGGCGTTGGCGAACGGACATCCTTTGAACGATAGTCACCTGGATTATCTTGCTTCCAAGTTGTATGGTGGTGAGATTTGTTATATTTTTCAGAAACACCGTGAAGTGAAAAATGTTAGCCAAATCCTGGGAGTCCTCCTGAATTTTCAAAAGCCAGCCAATAAAATTAGTCTTCCAAAACGCAGGAACTGTCATTTCAGCGAATTTAGATTTCCAAAATTTTAGTCCAGATCCCGTACATCTTTCTTGCTCCATGCGTCTGGGCGCTCCGCGCTCCAAAATGAAATTTGTCTCCAGCCTTATTTACATATTTTTACATTTTCTCAAAGATGATTAATTTTTTTGCAGAAAAACCTTTGATGGAAGGTTACAGCAATCATCAACTGAAGAAGGAACATTTTAATAAGGTAATTTCAAACAGGTTTTCCATAACGAAAGAACATGTCAATCTGAATTAATGCCATAAGAGAACTAGATTGCATGGAACATTGGGCGGCCACAATTTATAGAATAAATTTTCTATTAATTTGTCACCGTTGTGTTTAGTATTGGTTTCATTAATCTGTCATGTTTCCACCAATTCAAAAACCTTTTTGATAGATTTTGAACCCGTTTAGTACAAGAATATTGTTCTTCTTTCCATTTGTACAGTCATGCTTATTATACTCAGTGGCGGACACTTGTGTGGCGCGAAGTATCGGCGGTCTCATGTTACATGTATTAAAATACTCATTAATAATTCATAAACCTTGTGGCAAATCATGTCAGCCATCATATGTCACGTGGAGTGACTTTATATCTGATAAAGCATGAGGCATTATATACTTGTTCATCCTAATTAGTATGATTATATAATGGTACATCCTAATTACTCTTTTGTAGTCATATTTTAAGCTATTCAAAACACTCGTTGTCGTGTTTTATCAGACATAAAACGTTTTATATCTGATAAAACACTCCTACTCGTGTTTTAAATAGTACATAGTTGGCTCGATGCTTGTGATTTGCTTACTGACTGAATTGATTACTTAGCTTTTATGGTTAAAACGTAAAAAGAACTCTGTAGTAGCTGTATCTATACCAGAGACTTTAGGATGGTATTGGGAGAGCGTTCGCCTCCCGTCGTTTATTACTCATACTTCATACGGAACGTCACAACTGTGGTAAAATCAGTCTGTGTATTGAGCAATTTTGATTCAGTCTAACGTCTTAATCATTTAACTTTAACCCTCGTTTATTTCTCATTTAGCCACAAGCTACTGTATGTAACTTTAGCTTTGTACAGTATACTGATCTTTAGGCTGTCCCGTAGGGTGTTATAACGTCTCACCTGCATGTGACGTTATTTAATTAGATGTAATAATCATGAAACAAGATTAAGGATGACATGATGTCTTTTTCACAAATAAATACAAAATTTAGGAGGGAAGGTCTTTAACGTTGCCATTATTCACATTGTCGTTATTTCCTTTCAAGGACAACCTTCCAGATAGGCAATTCACATTCTGGATCTGGTTTTACTCTATTCTGGATCTTGTTAAGAAAAACTTCCAGCACGAGTGGCATGAAAAGTTTGTACACATTTCTCTTATAAATATACTAGTGTATAGATATTGCAATACGAGATTAATATCTTAAACTAAAATTAGATAAACATGATAACAATTAGAAATAAGTACAAAATTAATATATAAAATCGCAAACTGCAAGAAAATAGCATAGTTGAGCAAGAAATGCAGTATTGTTGCGTTAAAAATCTGATTGGTATAGCAACTACGTGTAGCTCCTGGCCCTTACTGTGTGTATGTTCTGTTACCTTCTTGGCTACTACTGTTGTGCCGGACTCAATACCCGAATTAAATCGAGCTTGTCATTGTGTACAATCAGGTCAACTGGCATGCAGAGGTTTGCAAACGTCGTGCCGATTTTAGGAAATTTCTTGAGTTTTATTAACGGGTTTAATACTCCCTGATAGCGCTCTGCCCTAAACTTTAAATGCATTTTCCACGTAAGTTTGCCAACAGTTGTGGCAGACGAACGCAGGACAATACCGTAATATATGTCAATATTCCTAATGTACTAAAAAGCTTCTACAGTACTTTATAAAGGCATACGGGAGGACAGTAAATTGCATGAGAACATACAATATATCTGACATTGTTCCTTACAGTACAGTACAGTACAGTACCTACACATTTACCACCTACTATCCGTAACGCGGATAAATATACATGTACCAAACATTTTCTTTATTTTTGTTTGCAGCCTTGTTTTAGGATTTATTGGAAAAGACGAAGCGAGAGAGATGTTACTTCAAAAGCCTGTTGGGACGTTCTTGCTCAGGTTCAGCGATGGCATACTGGGTGGAATTTCAGTTGCATATGTTCTTGTAAACGACCAAGGTAAGCAATTCCCGCGCGCATAGTTTTGTCACAGACCTTCTGGTTCGAAAACCGAATGTGGTATTGAAAACGAGTTGCTATCCGAGTTTTCTAAGAAACAATGAAGTGTTTTTTACAGCACAGTATGTCCTTTTAATTTATTAATCCATTTGAGAATATAGAATTGTGAACTATATCTAGAATTATAGCAGTTTGCCTGTTTCCAAACTCTAATATTATACATACTGTACGTGAGGGCTCTGGGTATGAGGTTTTAATTTCTCGTTTTTGACTACATTTTGAGATTAGGCGTAGATGAGTTAAGATCGTTGTCAACATTGAAAATTAGTTGTGAAGTTAGTGGTGAATGTTGAAAATGAAAATTTTGTTCGTTTGATTATTATCAAGTAGGAAAACAACATGTTTTTGATAGCTTGACCAAGTGAAGAACGCAGTTTTGTCACGCGAATTGCATGATTTTGCAGGATGGTAAAATTGTTTTTTCTTGGAAGGTAATTTGGATGTGTGGAACATTGAACCGTGGAGCTATAAAGATCTTGGACGACGAAATCTTTCAGACAGGTAATTCTTATATGAAGAAGTGGATATAAAGACTTGATATGAGAAGTGCATGTAAAAAGACGTAAACTTGTAATGTTCAGGGCCGCCAAGAGACATATTGCATGGGAGGCTGGAGCAAAATATAACTTAGGTGCTGTTTATACGGTCTC